GCTCACCGCCGTAGAAGAGCTGGAAGAAGTGGAAGCTGGCACTGAAAAGGAGCGATTTTCCTGACATGGTCTCATCGATGGCAATCTCCTCCTTGGAAGCGCCGAAGAAAACTAAGCTTCTTGCAGCTGATGTGGGACGTTGATCCTCCTTTGTGATGCACACTGACGAGGCGATGCGGGGAGAGTGGAGCATGCGGGGGCTGAGCCGGCATGACGACACTCGAGCCCGCTGTCAGAGCCACTGTTTCCTTCTCTTAGGAGAGAATGGAATTGCGAGAGCGGAGTGGGGAGTACCGCCTTCATTAAAGACAGGCGAGACTCATATTCTCACAGTGAGAGCATGATGTCTTTAATGCCGAGTTCACACTGCACGATTTTCAAAATCGTCGGGTCACCGTGGTTTTCACACTGCGTGACTATCTGGGGTAGCATTCAGTTGCTGCAGTGTTCACACTGCACGATGGATTGGCGACAGGAGGTTACACACTACATGACTTTACAATAGTAAGAATCGCCGACAGCTCTGTCTGGTCCGCAAACTACGTTTCACAACAAAACACGCGAGAAGTGATAAGGAAATAACGCGAGAACCCGCGTGCGTCAGACCAGAGTTTTCGAGCAAGACTGGAATTATTAAAAATATATATATAGCCGGCAAATTGTCTGTGAGCTGATTTCCAGCTACAAGGAGAAAAAGAAAAACAGATTATGCAGGAGGGAGATGCAGGGAACAGGGATTGGGTGTTCTGCAAAGAGAGTTGGAGGTAAATAATTTTGCAGTAAGTTAACTGGTATGCTGATGTTGTGGCTGGTCAAGCAAATGTTTGTGCTTGTTTCTGTATGATATAATTGTTCATATATCTATTAAAATACTGATATTCTGGTCTATAACTCCTCCCCGAACTTCCCTCTGCCCTGTATCTTGGTCTCTCATGGGCTGTAGGTCATCGCTGATGTAGTTTTCAGTCAGAAATAATTGCACACAGCGTGATTGTGAAACGCCGACAGCTCCAGAAATTTAGCATGCCAAATATTTTGCGGGCGTCGGCGATTCCCTCAGATCGCGTCCTTGATAATTCACACTGCGTGATTGTCACTCGCGTGAACGAGCACCGATTTGCCTCCGATTTCGGGCATTTGTCGGCGATTTCGCAAAACCTGTCGGCGAGTGAAAAATCGGACTAAAATCGTGCAGTGTGAACTCGGCATAAGGTTGAAAATAGATGATGTTTATAGTAAATGCCCCTATAAATGGTCTTATTTTTACGATTTAGTTTTAATCCAAATGATGCGTGTGCTAAGTGAGT